ACCTTCTGACGAGGGTTGCCACATCCGAAACGCAAAAAGAATAGCGCCTTTCATGTCGGGAGGAAATTGGATTATTGTAGTATGTAAAAATGAATTGATATTGAAAATTGCTATTTAACCACTGGCTATTACATAACTCACTTTAAACCTGACAGGAATAGCTCGCTATCCAGACTCATTGCATTGCACCTGAGTAGAAAACGCAACGTGACACAATTGAGGTCAGCTATTCACATTCATTTAGCCGGCTGCCCTTGACATGGGCTTGTACATAGCCTGTGGAATGTAGCAGCCTTTTCAAAAACTGCTAAGCTGGTTCCATGCATAAAACACAATAACTTCATATGGTTAGGTTAGTCAGATTTTTATTTCTAATAGATGAGATGCACATATCATGTGCTAATTTCTGCCCTTGGCTAAGACCGTGCTTTGTTGTATAAACTGCTGGTATGCATTGTGTGGCGGTGTCAACTAAAAGTGACTTGCTCAGCAAATGGGAAAAACATATATACCAGCCACTCCTCCTGTCCTGTCTACAGTGACTTGGTTCATTTCTCGAACTCAGACCCAAGCAACAGCATCTCTCTCCGAGCTGTGTTGTGTTCACTTTCAATAAAAGGAACAACAATTTGCAAATGTTAGTGCCCTTCACGTAGGATGATGTCTTGGAGCACTTAACATTGACAAGGTCAGACGCCCAGCAAGGAAGGAGAAGGAGGAGCATAACTCAGTACAATTTACATTTATATAGTGCCTTTCATGTCGAGGGGACGTCTCAAAGAGCTTTACACTGCTGGCTGGGCACCTGTTGGGAGATGAAGGCGGTGTGAAGGGGAAACATGACCAAAAATGCATTCGAAGATGTAGGTTTTGAAGTGCAGTCAAAGAGGTAGGTTTTTGGGTGGGGTTTAAAGACAGGTAGAAAGGGATAGAGTGGGGAGTTCCAACAGGTAGGGGCATAGTTGCTGAATGTTCGACCACCAAGGGTCACCATGGCTGAAACTCCCCTTTCAGAGGATCTGTCAGTAAATGGGCTAAATGCTTTTCTTCCCTACATTTTTTGAGGGATACATCAATCCATTGTCTTAAAGTATTAAAATATATTGTTAAAATAAAAATAGATCCCTTTACAGTTTTCAATTATCAAACATAAACTCTGCTATCCTTGGCTTTTACCTCTGGGTCAGAAAATTATGGGCTCAAACCTCACTTGATCTCAAAGTGTAAGCTGACTGTAAGTATTGCTGGAGAACTGCATTGTCACAGTGGTATCTTTCAGGTGAACCAAGGTCCCATGTATTTGTTTTTAGGTGGATGTTAAAGACCCCATGGAACTATTTGCAAAGAGAATGGAGTTTCTCCTGGTGTCCTGGCCAATAATCCCTGAACTAAAATTAGTCATTCTTCTCGTGGCTGTTTATGGGGCCTTGCTGCATGCAAAATGACTAACATAATTGCCAACAAAAACAATGACTATATCTGGGAGTAATTATTGTGAAGCACTTTAAGTAATAATACAATCCTTACATTTCACATAGCATTTTTGCATGTCAGGAGGTCTTCTCAAAGGACTTCAAGATGTTTGCCATTTTGACACGATAAAAATGCAAGTTCTTTTTACCTTACAATTGCATCAAAAAATCATCAGTAGTTTAGAGATGTTTTGGTTGTGCTATCCACTGCCAATGGTGACAGAATAGCTTGTTTTCAAATGTGGGATTGATAACTATGTAGAAAAAATTCTGATCACCCGAAGTACAGGACCTGTCCAGTATATACAATACAATTTACTTTTATAATTATGCTTTATATGGCTTTACTTGGGAATTTGTCTCTTTCACAATAAGCTATCCATTCTCTAGTTTTGTTTAAAGTGCAATTTTCTGAAATAAATGTCAAATACAGCATTCCATATGTAGAACTTGAATGAACATTGCCTGTCTGGCTTCCTTTATATTATCTCAGTAGCAGATTCAAATATTCCAATAGTACAGTGATTATATCAATTGTTTTAGCCAGGCAGTGAAGAAAAATACTTGCCTCCACAAAATATGCATGTGCTTATACAACATTTGCAATGAATAAAGATATGCTCCTAAAGATATGCCTGGTAATGGAGTGCTGCATTTGTGCTTGTAATGCAGATGAAATGCAAATGTAAATACTTCTCTGGATGTCCATGCTTTTCTTTCGGTAGCTTGTTTGGCAGTGGATTTTGATCCCAAATCTTTAAAGGCACGGAATAGTCTCTAGCTGTGGGCGATAATTTATGGTATAAGCAATCAAATTAGAATTGCCATTGGCCCATGGGAAAGCCGGAAGCAGATTCACTTCAGAGCAGACTTCTCATGAGTCAGTGTGAATTACTTCTTCGGAAGAATTCTATTGTTTGACGCAGAAAGAATTCTGTTAAGAAATATAAAAAATTAGACAATTTTATGATTTATGTTGAATGTCACCATTCATACATTAAGCTTGAGTGTACAAGCATTTGACATAAGGAGGGACATAACTCCATCAGCAGGATTATGTCATTAATTTATAATAATCCACTTGATATAGTGCCTTACTAGACTGTATCACATTGCCAAAGCATTTCAAAGCAGTTAACAGGCGAGAACAATGAGAGAAATCCCCTTCTCATTTCGAATCATGCTAGGGGGTCTTTAACATTCACCTGAACAACAACAATAACAATATGGGATCAGGAGAGTTGGAGGGTAGGGAGGATAGAGGTAGGAAAGTGGCTGTTCCAACTGAATAGGCAATTGACCCTCCAGTCCTCAGTAAACCTATTGATGCAGTTTTTGCTGTCACAATGGAATCAATTTAATAATAATTAAACCACTAAATTTAATTTAAATTTAAAACATCACAAAAGACCACCATGAATATTTCACATTTATATGCATGATATCTGAAAGTCATTAGCCTGTGTTTATTGCTTGCATAATAAATGAATGTGCCCCATGTGCCAATTTTTAACCCCCGAAAAACACAGCGCACAAAGGATTTGTCAGCATACCTAATATTTAGCATCAGATAAAAATATGCTCACTGTTGGAAAACATTCCACACAAGACTTATTTTGCCACAAGAGTTTTATAACAACAACTTGCATTTATATATATCTCCCTTTTTTTGCGGGGTAGAGTCTCAGAGTGCTTAATGCTACCAAAGCCCTTAATTTAATTCGTGGAGTCCTGTAGCTCAGTGGTTAGAGCACTCACTTTGCAAGCGAGAGACCTGAGATCAATTCCAGGCAGAGGGCGAAACCTTGGGCAAGTTTCCTTACTCCACACAGAACCTAATAATAATCCCTCCAAAACCATAAACAATAATAAATTGGTCATTTTCAATCTACGACTGTTTGTGGGACATTGCTGTGCGCAATTGGCTGCTGCGTTCGCCCACAAATATACAGTCAATTCACTTTACAGTGTGTTCTGTGAAGCGCTTTGGGACGTCCTCCCGACATGAAAAGCGCTATATCAATGCAAGGATTATTATTATTATTAAAACAGTTTTGAAACAAAGCTTTAATTCTATTACAGCTGATAATAAGAGCTCCAGCTTTGCTGAGAGCTACAGTACATCATTACAGCAGTGGCTCCAAGCCAGGGATGATAGCACACCCTGTTTCCAGAGGGATTTCCTCCTGTACTCTTGATGGTTAAACTAAAAACTTTGACCATGTCCACTGGGCAAACTAACATAATTGCTCACTGGACCCTGGGGATGGGAAACGATTTGGAAAGACACAACTACTGGACTAACCATTGCTGTGATCTGTTGCTCAGATACTCATTAAGCAGGTGAATTAGTCGACACGCACTGCAGCAATTCCCTACTTTTTTAACCCCCCCCCAAAAATAAATGTACACTTATATGACGCTTAGGGACATCTTATCACAGTGTGTGCAATCCAGTCTAGCCAGCAAATGCTCCCAGCCTGACAGCACAGCACAGCCTTTGAAGGTGGAACGAAATGGGGGTGATGTTGGAGTTAGGCGCATTTTTAAGTAGCAAAGGTAGAAGGTGGAAAGTGTGGCTCCCTCCCCCCTCCCCCACCACACTGTGTGCTAATAGCAACAACAACAACAACAAGATTCCATTTATAGAGCGCCTTTCACGTCGGGAGGACGTCCCAAGGCGCTGTACAGTTGGGTCGGGACCGGAGCATTGGGGGGAAATGGTCAGGGTGAGGGGAGGGAAGGGAGAGAGCGAGGAGGGGGTAGAGAGTCGAGAGGGGAGCTGAAGGCACGGTCGAAGAGAAAGGTCTTGAGACCGGCCTTGAAGGAGGAAAGGGAGGAGGCGGCGAAGGCACTGGGGGATGGAGTTCCAGAGCCGGGTTTGGGATAGCATCTGTAAGGCTGGAATGGTTGCTGAGCCTCTTTGGAGGAGGAGGAGGAAGAGGAGGAGGAGGTGGGTGATGGATTGAGTTGCAGTCTGTGCACATAGCCCCCTGGCAGTAGGGTGGCAGGTGGCAGGGTGGGTGAGGGCTGGTGCTGAGGTCTCTGTGCCCTGGAGCCCAGGACGTGTCTTCTCTGTTTTTCAGGCACAATTTTTTTTTTGGGGGGGGGGGATTCAGAGAGAGAGAGAGAGAGAGTACAGACTGTCTGTCTGAGAGCAGGTGATTGCAATAACCCAGAGCTTCAGAGGCAGTGAGAGAGAAAGAGAGGGAGAGAGAGAGAAAGAGAGAGGGAGAGAGAGAGAAAGAGAGAGGGAGAGAAAGAGAGGGAGAGAGAGAGAAAGAGAGAGGGAGAGAGAGAGAGAGAAAGAGAGAGAGAGAGAGCATGTTAGCTGTCAGATGATAACCACAGACCAGGCAGGAAGGAAGGAATGAGCTGTTTGGAGAGAGGGAAGGAGGGAGAGGGAGGGAGGGAGAGGGAGAATGTGTTGCTGGTGACTGACTGATGGCAGTGCTGGTGTGTGATTGCTGACACTGCTCTCACTCACTCACTCACTCACTGACTGACTGATGTGTAGGATCCGCTATGATGTCCGACAGGAAGATTTCGTCGGGATCGCCGACTCCCGCGGGCTCGGGTTCCCCGGAGAGTCCCGAGGACGGGCGCTGCCCCTTCTCCCGCTTGTGGAACGGGAAGGGCTCAGGGTCCGGGCGCCCCCCCCGCAGGCGGGTCAACCTGGACTGCCTCGGAGAGAGCATCAGGAAACTTACCTCTCCCACGGTAAAGCCACCAGCACTACCCCCACACCCCCCCCCCCCTCACCCCCCACCCCCTCACCCCAAACCCCCCAACCCCCTCAACCCCCACCCCCACCCCCAACCCCCCACCCCCCTCACCCCCCACCCCCCACCCCTCACCCCCCACCCCTCACCCCACCCCCCACCCCCTCACCCCCAAACCCCCCCTCACCCCCCACCCCCTCACCCCAAACCCCCACCCCTCACCCCCACCCCTCACCCCCACCCCCTCACCCCCCCACCCCCTCACCCCCACCCCCCTCACCCCTCACCCCAACCCCTCACCCCCTCACCCCAACCCCCTCACCCCTCACCCAACCCCCACCCCCTCACCCCCCCACCCCTCACCCCCCACCCCCCACCCCCTCACCCCCCCCCCCACCCCTCACCCCCCCACCCCCTCACCCCCCCCCCTCACCCCCCACCCCCCACCCCTCACCCCCCACCCCCACCCCCTCACCCCCCCACCCCCTCACCCCCCACCCCCTCACCCCCTCACCCCAACCCCCTCACCCCTCCCCACCCCCACCCCCCCACCCCCTCACCCCCACCCCCTCACCCCCCAACCCCTCACCCCCTCACCCCCCCACCCCCTCACCCCCCCCACACCCCCCCACCCCTCACCCCCCCCACCCCTCACCCCCCCACCCCCCTCACCCCCCCACCCCCTCACCCCCCACCCCCCTCACCCCCCACCCCCCTCACCCCAACCCCCTCACCCCCTCACCCCATCACCCCCCTCACCCCCTCAACCCCAACCTCCCAACCCCTCACCGCCCTCAACCTCACCCCCTCACCCTCAACCCCCCCAACCCCCCCAGCCCCCAGCCCCCTCACCGCCCTCAACCTCAACCCCCCACCCCCTCAACCCCTCAACCCCAACCCCCCTCAACCTCCCACCATCCCCACACCCCCCAACCCCTCACCCCCCCAACCCCCCCTCAACCCCCTCACCCCCCAACCCCAACTCCCTCACCCCAACCCCCTCACCCCCCTTCTCATTCCTCTCTCCACACTTCACCCCACAAAGTCATCCCTTTATTGTTGCATTCTCTCTCTCCCTCTCTCTCCCTCCTCACTGACACACACACACAGCCCTGTGCAGCCCTGTCAGGAAGGGCAGGTGAGGGTGTACTGTGTGTGTGTGTGTGTGTGTGTGTGACAGGTTGAGGGGAAAGCGCGGTGTTCAGCACAGCGCAGAGTTTAACAACAACAACAACAATAATAATAACAATGTTTGAGCGTTGCTGAGAGGTCCGCACAGGTCGTGGCTGTGGGTCCCGTCCCTTCCGCTGCGAATCGCCTGTAAAGTTTCACCCCCACTCACTGCAAAATGCAATGCAATTGCAATTGCAATGCAATGCAATGAATGGGATTGAGTTCGTTTCATCCGCCTCTGCAATTTGCTGCGTTGCTGTTGATCAGTGCATTTGCATTAGATTTTGTTGGGATGAAACCGTCCACTTTTGGTTCGGATCCCGTTGATCACTGCGGAGCTTTGTGCTGATGCGAAATTGAACAGCACTGAGAGAGAGAGAGAGAGAGAGAGAGAAGGGGAGAGAGCGCTGTGTGGGGGTTCTCTGCCCCATTCCAGGCTTTTCTCCTGATTGCAGACACGGCTATTATTCTTGGAAAAAATCATCAAAAAGATCCAGACAACATTTCAAAGTGTTTATCTCAACAACGTATCTCTGACTCTCTTATGAGTTGCATGAGATTCGAGGGCAGCCCTTCCATGACTGGCCACCCAGAGTGTACTGTCTGCTAATGAATGGACTTTATGTTAGTATAATAGTAATAATCCTTGCAATTCATGTTGCACCTCATCAGGTCATCAGAACATCTCAAAATGCTACCCAGGATTTTACTGTAAAGTGGACTGATTGTGTATTTGGAAGCGAATACCACTATTTCATGCTTTGTTATAGTTTGGGTTGGTACGAAATAAATGCTGAAACTGGTTAAGGAGAGGTGGGTATTACTGTTATAATTATAATGGTTGCATCGTAATTCTCTGTTACCGATTGTAATGAACACAGAATATATCCGTTAACTTCAAAGGTAATTTGTAATGAACACAGAATATGTGTGTTACTTCGAGGGTAATTTGTATCGCATGAAACCCATCAGTTATATCTCAGGATATTATAATAATAATCCTTGCATTTGATATAGCGCAATATATGTCACGTTTTCGAGACGTCTCAAAACACTTCACAGGATATACTGTAAAGTTAATTGACTATATTTTGTGGACAAGTGTATATTCATATAATTAAAATGAATGAAACTAGTATAGAAGTAGGAGTATCAATGTCACAAGTGAGGTTACTGCTGTCAAATCGAAACAAAACTTTTAAAAGAAGAATCACATTAGGGTTAAAGCTTTGGGGAAATTCACACTGAATGTGGTGCTGTTATGCTGGATATTTTTCAGTGCAATGTTTAACAAAATGGAACAGTGGCACCACAACTTTAAATTAAAGGGACACTAAAGTGATCTGTCTTGCAAAGTGGTCGTAAATAATGAAAGGAATCAAGCTGGATGGTAGAACCAGCTCATGAATGGAATTTACATTAATATAACAATAATCCTTGCATTTGATATAGGGCCTTATCAAGTTGTCAAAACATGAATAATATCCATTTAGATAATGAACTAGAGTTGCCAGTGGAATCATACCTTGCAGAAGGAAAATTGAGTCAAGGGAGAAAAGGGGAGAGGAGAAATTTGGAGAAGAAAATTGGTTAAAAGAGAGAAATAGAGGGATCCAAAACAAGGGGGTGTAGTCATAAAATTAGAGCTAGAGCGGATAGCAGTGAGATGAGAAAATCTTTCTTCACACAGAGGTTTGTGAGGTGGAATTGCACTGCTTCAGAAGAGTGCAGAGGCAGAATCAATTGAGATCTTTAAAAGGGAGTTAGATAAGTGGATAGAAACCTGGGAAGTAAAGGTACAGAATTGAGTGGTGTAGAGAAAAATCGGCATTATCTGTAAAATCTAATAAATGGCAGATCAGGCTCCCTGGGCTGAATTGTCTTGTCTTGTTCCAATGTTCCTAAGACCTCTGTCAATTCCCTTTTCAGACTCTTTATTTTTGCCTATTTGTCTTTCCTCTGCAGGAATATATACTTTTGGCAGATGTGAAGGCATTACAATCAGAAATGTTCTTTATTTCCATCAGTGTCACTCTAAGAAGAATTAACCAAAAATTTGATTTAAGTGGTTTCATGGCTTTTCCTCGTGGCTTTTTGTGGGACATTGCTGTGTGCAAATTGGCTGTCATGTTCATCTACAAAAGGCAGTCGTTACACTTTACAGTATATCCTGTGAAACACTTTGGGACGTCCTCCTGATATGAAAGGCACTATACTAAATATAATGATTATAATATATATTATAATTGGTAATAGATAGTACAGAGACATGAAGTCACAGCCCTTTTAATTAGGAGTCTCGGTTTTGCTTTTATTTTAATGTTGACGATTCATTGTGCAGGCAGAATGAAAACAAAATTTAAATTGCTTAGTTACCCCAATCTTGGTGATACCGAAAGACCTTGCATAGATTTCTGACAATTTCTATAGCAATTACCAAGCCCAGAGGTTTAAAGGACATTGTAACATCTTTTCCAATTTAAAGGGGAACTGTATTCAACGGATTCATCGTATATTTCTAAATAACGAGAACCATCGATACACATAAATAAATGTATCCTGGTTTGAACCTTAAGCCTATTGTCTTAAATTTAAGATTGTGCAGAAAATATTCTAAGACATTTTAAGATTTTAAGACTTTGATCTTAAAGCTAAGAACATGAGAATTTCCTAGAAATTACTGCTCAGTCACACCCTTTTCAATGTGTTGTCCTTAAAATTTGTGGGCTAATGACTGAAAGCACCCCGTGGCATTGCACTAAGTTATAAAGACTAGAAGACAACAGGTTCCCACCGTGTGTTGAGTTTGCTGATCTTAGCCAGGCCAGCAGTTGGCATCAGTGTCACTGTTTTTTTTTATCAGACCGGGCTCATACTCCTCATTGGTTTAATCTGGAAATTGTGTGTGTTTGAGTGTCGTTTGAGGGTTGATCATAAAAAATACTTTCCAAACAACCATTAAGTTATTCAGTACTTACTGTCAAGGCTCATACTTGAATAATAGCCACTTGTCAGGATTATTATTATTAGTTAGGGGTCAGCCTGGCTCAGTTAGTTGAAATCATGCCCCTGAGTCTGTGGTTTAAACCCAGGTTGGGATTTTGAACTCAAATAGTCTAGGGCTGACACTCCAATGCAGTGCTGGGGGTGTTCTGCATTGTTGGAGGTGCCGTCCTTCGAATCAGACTGTACACTAAGGTCCTGCTCTGGTAGATGGTAAAGTTTCCAAGGCACGACTTGAAATGAGAAGGGAGCTTCTTCTGGTGTCCTGGTCAACAATTCCTGAGATAAAATTGGTCATTCACTTCATGGCTGTTTGCGGGACATTGCTTCATGTAAATTGGCTGCAGAGTCACAAAATTAAGTTTCACTGTATGCGCTATGAATGGAGCCCTGCACTAAGCTCCATGAGCTGATCACCCCCATCCCTCGCCCGATTTCACTGGCTTCCCATCCTTCAGAAGATCGAGTTGAAGATCCTCAACCTAACTTTTAAAGGTATCCATGGTCTTGCCCCTCCTGATCTCTGTGACTTACTATAACCATATCAACCTGCCTGCTCCCTCTGCTCAGAGGGCACTGGTTAAATGGTTAATTATTTTAAAAAATTACAAAACATTTCCAGGTACTGACAGAAACATTCCCACATGAACAAAAAATAAACAGAATCCCGGAATGCCATACATTCACAACAGCATCACTGGTGTGAACGGCATCAAATTCTGGACACTCTGAAATCCTAAATAAATAGAGCAGTTGTGGAATTTTACTTCACCTGTTTGCTTTTCTGGGTGGTATTACTGATTTTGGTACCTAGTACCTATGTATAAGATAACACACAGTCTGGTACTGTGTGTTATCTTATACAAGCTAGGACAATTGTGTCGGATAAGCTAGAATACTTGCTGCAGGAACAACCACATTATTCAGACTCATTTTTCTCCATCAGTTTTCCAATTAAATATTCTCTTGTGCTGCTTTCAGCGTTTATTTCCAAGTCATTTTCATTACATTCCTGTTTACATAGCCCTCTTGGGGGAAGTGGACAACTCCAGCAAGCAATAACATTGGTATTGGTTGATTATTCATGCTTTGGGGGCCAATGTTTTTTTGATGGCTCGGATTCATTTATAAGAGATGGAAGGTTTATATTAATTGTATTATATTCTATGCCGAGGGATTGACGCATTTAACACGATTTACTTTACAAATTCAAATTGTGAGATATTTGGTAACATTCATGTAAAATTATTAGGAAAGTTCTTTTAGGCCCGAGTGTCATTTCGTTTTAAATTTTAAGATAGCACAAAATTGTGGAAAGTTTTAAATTCAGTTTGAATTTGGAAGCTAATTCTCCACAGTTCTTATAAAGAATCAGTTTTAAAATTAAGACAAAATTTAAGGATTTTTGACGATTCTCCGCCATCTTACATTTTAAGACACAATAACCTTAAACTAAAACTAGATGGAATTTAAGCCTAAATGTTCCTATTAACTCAATGTTGCGATTCTCAGTAACAAAATGTACCTGTTGAAGAATTGTCATTGAGCCACTTGGCCCTGGTGTGATTGTGATGCTTGGCTTTTCCAGTCTCTGGGGAACGTCTTAAAATTTAGCAACCTGGTGGCACGGACTTATAACATTGTGGAGTCTTATAGCGTATTGGTTAGTACACTCACCTCGCAAACAATAACAAGATTACATTTGTATAGGGCCTTTCACGTCGGGAGGACATCCCAAGGCACTGGGAGGACCTGAAAACTTAGGCATGTTTCCTTGTTGCTCACCCCTCTGTTTACCCAGCAGTAAGTAGGAACACGGATGTTAGTCGATTGGATGATCAGTTTCCGTGGGTAATAGTTTCTCAAAAAAAAATGTGGTCCATCAATCTGCAACTGATTGTGGGACACTGCTTGTGCACATTTCACCTACAAAATACACAGTCAATCTATTTTACAATATATTCTGTGAAGCGCTTTGAGAAGTCTCAATGACATCATAAGGCGCTATAACAAATGCAAGAATTATTATTATTATTTTTGCAGAGAATCCTCTTCACAATAAAAGGGGCATTTTATTGGAAAATGTAGAAAGAAGGAAAGACTGGGGGAGGTAAGAAATATTTTTAACACATTTTCCTGAGGAAGACCAGCGCATTTCACAGGTGTTAATGTCATAACATTTTAAATTGTCCGTTCTCTTTTGCAAAAAAACAAATAAAATGATTCAAAAAAATATTCATTTGAATTTATAGCAGGTTAGGATTGTAAAAGTCTATGTGAGGACACACACTATGCAGCATTTCTCTAAACAGACAGTACTCAAAAGTTGGAATAGGTTACCAGGGGAGGTACTTGGGACTATTTAAAAAAAACAGCTTGATGCAGTAATGGTAGTGTGGTTATTCTGGGAGGTTCAGATCAATTGGGCCAAAGGGAATTCTTCATCGGACGCTTACTTGTGATCTTGTATACAACATGTATTTAGTTTGCCTTTGCTGCTATTGTTTGTTACCAATGAGTTTTACTGTATTGTATTATCTTATTGATACAGCCACAGACATTACAGAAGGCACTTCAGAGAACACAGCATTACTTTGAGCTTCAAGTCATAAGGTAAGTGTAAACAGCATTGAAGTACAAATGCAATAGGATTACTACTGAGACAAGACATTGTTTGTAGAGTAAAGCTAAACTGTCTCACAACGGTTTAATCCCAGTTCACATTCCCTATTAGTGGGAGACCAATCCAATGGTTGATGAATTGAGCTTCACAATGATAGGAAGAGCTGACATTGAAAGATCAAAAAGTAATGTAGTTACACCACAAGTCAGTTAACTCTTTGGTAACTTTCCTGACACCGCCTGCTTAAAACCCACCAAGCCAGAAGAATCGTGAGGCCCCATATTCATGGTCTGTATTCATACTGAAAGTCACGATTAAGCGAACTTTTACTCTTCTGATCCACCATAAACCATGCACTATGCACAGTGACTATATAGACAAATTAGCAAATATTCATATAGTTGTAAGTATCATCTACACTTGCTGAATGTACAGTACATTATATTGTCATAATTTGTGTTCAGAAAATTTGTGTCCAACATTTAGGGTGAATTTTTAAATTTTATTTTTAATTGACCGTTTCATTATTCTTATTTTGTTCTTATTCTCTTCTTATTCTATTTACCAAGCAGTAAGTAGGAACCTGGCTGTTGGTCGATTAGTAGATTGCTTTCTGGGTGTAATCATCCCTTTTTAAAAAAATAGTAATTTGGTCACTCAATCCACGAACGTTTGTGGGACACTGCTGTGCGCAATTAGCTACCTTGTTTCACCCACAAAATATACAGTTAAACACTTTACAGTATATTCTATGAAGCACCTTGAGACATCTCAATGATATGATAAGGCGCTATATCAAATGCAAAGATTACTATAATGACTGCTTAATAACTCGTATTTGTACTGATGTAAAAGGTCAATAATTAGAACTCTGTAGTGACCAATGAACATAAATTCATCTAAACACTCAATACTAGTTAATGGTTTGAAAGTGGAATGGAAATATCAAATCTTAACTGCAAACTAAGTCTCATTGTGCAGTCCAGGGGTAGGACAGAGATTGGTTCTCACGATTGCCCACATAATGAGATTCTGATAACAATGGAACCGTTAGGGAGAGGCACTCATGAAGAGACTGGTCTCTTCACCCCAGGCCATGGGAAAATCACTGATTCCCACACATCTCCGAGCATCTGGTTAAAGACTCGCTTTGACACTGAGCTGTGAGCGGTTTGGTTGTCCCACCCTCTCAGTCACGGCAACGATGCCTGAGGGAGAACTTGACACCACTTGCCCTATCCTCCTACTCCTCTGGCTCTTTCCCCTCTTTTGAGCACCTCACCCTCTCCCACCCCTCCTTCCTCCCACTCAAAATCCTCCTCCTTTACCGACCCCCTAAAACCTCTCCCACCTTCATCTCCAATATTTCTACCCTACTTGCATCTCTCTGCCTCTGCTCTGATCGCCTCATCATCCTGGGCGACTTCAACCTGCACTTCAGACCCTCCTGCTCCATCTCCTCAGACGTCTCCTCCCTCCTCTCCTCGCTCAACCTCTCCCTCCACATCAACTCCGCCACTCACAGTCACGGCCACCCACTTGATTTGGTGATCACCTGGGGCCTCAGTGTCTCGGATGTCACCATTACCGACGAGGCCGTCTCCGATCACCACATCACCTCCTTTACCACCTCCACCCTTTTCCCCACCTCCACCAGACCCACCACCATCTTCTACCGCCCCTGGAAGAAGTTACCCCCACAATCCCAAACCGCTGCCTTGGAGTCCTCTGAACTCCTCTCCCTCTGGCCTTCAACCCTCACTGACCCCTCTTCTGCTCTCACCCTCCTCCACAACACCCTCTCCTCCACACTCGACACTCTTGCCCCCATCACCTCCCGTACTGTCTCCTACTCTCGCTCCTCCCCCTGGTTCACCACCCACCTCCGCTCACTGAAGAGCCAGGTGCGGGCCGCTGAACGCACCTGCTCAAATCTGGCCTAACGGTCCACCGACAAATCTGGCTGGACCTCCTCAAAATCTACCGCTCCACTCTAGCCCCGGCCAAGTCGTCCATCTACTCCAGGATAATCCTGGAGGCGAAGAACAACCCCAGGCTTCTGTTTTTTACCACATCCCGACTCCTCCATCCCCCCCGCCACCAGGTCATCTCCTCCAACCTTCACTGCGAGGAGATGCTGGATTTCCTTGAATCCATAATCAAGGGAATCCGCTCCGCGGTCACTCCCCCTCCAACTTCCACCCAACCCCAACCCCTTCCCTCCCACACTCTGACCTACCCATCCTCCCCTACACACCTTCGAACCTGTTTCCCCACCCTCTGTCACCAAACTCATCCTGTCCCTGAAATCCACCACCTGCTCCCTGGACCCCATCCCCACTCCACTCCTTATCTCCCAACTCCACCTCCTTGCCCCATTTATCACAAACATCATCAACCTGTCCCTCTCCTCTGGCTCTGTTCCCATTCCCCTAAAAACTGCCATCATCACTCCCACTTTGAAAAAACCCTCCCTTGATGCGTCGCAGCTATCAAGCTACCGGCCCATCTCCAACCTCCCCTTCCTGTCCAAGGTCCTTGAAAGAGTTGTCGCCTCCCAGCTGCGCTCTTTCCTCTCCACCCATTCATTATTCGAACCCCTTCAGTCGGGTTTCCGTGCTGCCCATAGCACAGAAACCGCCCTGGTCAAGGTCACCAATGACATCTTGACCATCTGCGACCAGGGCTCCCTCTGCCTCCTCGTCCTCCTCGACCTATCGGCAGCATTCGATACGGTCGACCATGCTGTCCTCCTCCACCGCTTGTCCTCCCACCTCAACCTTCAAGGCCCTGTCCTTGAGTGGTTTAGATCTTACCTCTCCCACCGTCTTCATTTTGTTTCCACAAACGGCTTTTCCTCCAACCCCCGCACTGTCTCGTGTGGTGTCCCTCAGGGCTTTGTCCTCGGTCCCCTCCTCTTCACCCTCTATATGCTCCCCCTTGGTGACATCATCCGCAGACATGGGATTAACTTCCACATGTATGCGGATGACACCCAACTCTACCTTTCCTCCTCTACCCTCAACTCCACGACCACCGATGTCCTGACAGCTGCCTGTCCGACATCGAGTCCTGGACGAGAGACAACTTTCTTCAGCTCAACGTGCGCAAAACTGAGGCCCTCCTGATTGGCTCACGTCAGCACCTCAGCACCTCAGGCGCTGACAGCATCAGCATCCAAGGCTGCACTCTCCACCTCTCAAAGCCGTCAGGAACCTCGGGGTTCTGTTCGACCCGGAGTTTCCTTTCTTCCTCATATCCGCACCACAACTGGCACCGCCTTCCATCACCTCCGAAACATCGCCAGACTACGGCACTACCTCACCCCTCACGCTGCTGAAACTCTGGTCCACGCCTTTATCACCTCAAGGCTGGACTATGGGAACTCTCTCCTCGCCGGCCTTCCCGGCACCTCCCTCCACAAGCTGCAGGTCATTCAGAACTCTGCAGCTCGTGTACTGTCCCGCACCAGGCTTCGCGACCACATCACTCCCACCCTCGCTCGCCTCCACTGACCTTTCTCTTTGACCGTGTCTTCAGCTCCCCTCTCGACTCTCTATCCCCTCCTCGCTCGCCTCACCCTGACCATTTCCCCCCTGCTCGGGTCCTGACCCAACTGTCCAGCAACTTGGGACGTCCTCCCGACGTGAAAGGCGCTCTATAAATGGAATCTTGTTGTTGTTGAAGAAATGACCGAAATTCTATTTAAATACAGGAAGAAAATCCTGTGCTGTGTCTTTAATATCACCGGTTGACAACTGAAGGTAAAAAAACAAAGTTGAAGTATTCAACTCTCTCGTGGCGTAAACTTTCGAGTAAAACAATTATGAACGTGCAGAAGACTAAAAGACAATAGCTAATTTTAGCATTCAAATTACAGTCTTCCAACTGAACTAAAGATAGCCAACTCACGGTGGAGAAAATTGAACAAGATACGTCTAGTTACAGAGCAACCCATGTTAGACTTATATAGTAGTAGTGCACATAGCTGCTGAACAGTAATGATGAAATGATTATTAGCCACAATTACAATTACAAAATCAAGCACCAGAAGAATAGATTTGAAGAGTTGATGTATAAATAAGTTTGACTCTGCAAAAGGCAATGTTCCAATTAGAATAAAAGCAGGAAGTTTTTTGCCAGTACAAATAGACTGAATGTTGTTAATAACAGGGCAATGGAACTAAGTTCAAATAATACCAGTGCAATTACTAAGTATTATTAATATTGGACTTGTACAATGATACTCATTAATACCAATACAATGGGACTAAAGATAGCAACATTACTAATGCCAATAGAATAGACTCAGTGTTACCCATTCCAGTACAATTGGACTGTGGGTTATTAATTCTAATACAATATTAGTACGGCTCATACCCCACTCCTCTGCCTGCCCCCTCCTCTTGTCTGCTGCATGTCCCCCGACTTCTCTGCCTCACCATTGGTGGCCGTGCCTTCGGCGACTATGCCCACTCTGGATGAATTTAAAAAGCAGCTCGATGCAGTGTTGAGGGGATTATAGGATGTGTTTTCTGGAAGCATGAGTACAGATGGACTGAAGGACATCTTCATCCAAACCAATCTTGTGGTCTTGTGATAACATTTCCTTTCTCGGAGGCCCACAAATTCTGCCTAGTCTTTAGCTTGTTAGACTCCTTTATCCTGAAACTTACAGTCATGCAGAATTGCAGAAAATTCTTCAATTTAATCAGAATTTGGAAGCCAGTTCTTTTAAAAACTATGGAAATCCAGCTTCGAAACTAAGATTGAATTTAAGAATGCAGTTACTACAATTGTGCATGATGTTAGATTTTAAGACAAAATGAATCTTACAAGCTAAGGTTAGGTGAAATTATGGGTGTTTAATCTCTTCTTGCCTGTACGCTATGCCTTTCTCTGTATTCACTCTTTGAGTTTTCTTGCAAGTTGTGACTGTTCATAAACCAATCTGTCTGTGGTGATACCATTTACTGTTGAGAATAATTTGGGAAAATAGCTCAACTGGGTGAATGAAGCCACCTTGAGCTAGATTACTTGTGCCTTGTATCTCAGTGCACAAATATCTGCTATTAGTCTGTGTCAAGCCCCTGGCTGAACAATATATACTACTGTTCCAGTGTTATTTCTGGAATTTAATTGTAAAGAACTGGGTTAGCCTTTTGTTTATATCAATCATTCAAAGCAGAGCTACCTCTGTTCTAGAATAAAACTCATTAGAAAACACTCACAGCTTTCTGGAATGGAGTGTAGAGGATTGAGGCCAAACCAATTTGCCTCTTCCAATGGGTGTTAAAAATCTCATGGCACTATTTGAAAATAATTCACTTCATGGCAGCTGTGCACAAATTGGCTCCTAAGTTTGCCTGCAAACTATTATTCTTTACAGTAAATTTTGTAATGAACTTTTGGATGCCCTCCCAATGTAAAATACACTGTACCACATGCTAAGATTATTATAGATAAGGGGAATAATATAATAATAATCCTTGCATTTGATATAGCGCCTATCACATCACTGAAACTCCTCAAAGTGCTTAACAGGATTTATTGTTGAGTTCAGTGAGTGTAAGTGAATATGGAAACAAATTTGCACACAGCAAAATCTTACAACCAGCCATGAAGCGAATAAACAATTTTATCCGGTAATAAACACCAAGGACACCAAGGGAAACAGATATTTCTTTACTGATATGGCTATGGGTTATTTAATGTCCACCTGAACAGGTAGATGGGATCTCAGTTTGTGTCTTATCTGAAGGACGGTATTTCTCACAAAGCAGCTCTTTCCTTCTCAGGTCTTTGAACTCATAGTTGGAATGTCAGCCTGGACTATGAGTTCAAAGACCCAATGTGGGGCTTGGAACTCACAGCCTTGCGAGTGCTTCTAACTGAGCCAGGCAGACACCTCCCAAAGAACCAGTAACGAAGGGAGAAAAAGTGCATCTGAGCCTGGGTTTATTGTTATTTTCAATGTCCCTCTCTGATATGTGGATTAAATAGTTCTTTACAAGATTTTGAAGATCCTGTTATCACAGTTCACTGGGAGACGGTGGTAAAATGTTTGGACTGCAGGGCGGGGAACTGATGCCTTTGCAACTCACATCACTTGTTAGTAGTAATCAGCAAGTTTCATGCTGCAGGTAGGCTGGAAGGCATTAGAGTCTATTGGATACAGTGGAACTCCTTATGTCCCTCAAATTTTATTTCCTTCTATCGATAAGCTTCAAAAGGAAAGGCAGCCGTCACTTTGCCACAACTCTTTAATTCATCTCAGCTTTTCTTCTGTTCTTTTTGACCTTATATATTATTTGGTCCTTCACCTAGGTTTCACAGTTCAATATAAAGTGATCAAAGAAAGCTATTTGTCAGGTCTGACATATGTGGAAACCCATCATTGCATTTAAATGTGTCCAAACCATACAGAGTTCCACATATGTATACTAGGCATTATAAATTCCCCTGTGTCTGCAATGGAATATGCCCTCTCTTCCTAGTGGAGGGTGACAAGAGCTGAAGGATCCCTAAGGTGTGCATGGATGTTGGCGAGACCCAACAACAACTTGCATTTATGTAATGTCCTTCACACCGGGTAGCATCTCGGACTGCCAATGCCTGATAATGTGCATTGAAGTACGGCGGGAGCTTAACCAGCTAAAACCACGTAACTTGTCATTGTAAGCACTGTGTGCCGAGCTGCACCTAGGACCACTTACCCTTTAAGACTTTGGCCTTCAAGTTTTTTTTAATGCTGAAACTCATCACCATGCTTAAGAATATCCAAACCAGTCTGAAAATTCTGTATATCTATGCACCTACACCATTAGGAATACAGTAGCTGAGTGGGAAGATCCTGCTCCTAGAGACCAATTAATCTGTCTCTCCAAGTTCTGCCAATGGACTGGTTTAGTATGTCATCAGAAGTGCCTTGGACCACTGTGGACCCACCTGGCTCAGGAACCGATCTACTCTGCCACAGAGGGTTGACTCCATTTTGCTATTCCTTTGCAAAGCATATCACCTTAATCATCTTAGCTCCAAGGAGACCCCGCTCACCCCCGACCCAGAGGGTCATGAAAGCTATCTGCAAGGATTATTATTATTATGCATGCTTCAGGTGAGATGTTAAACCAACGTCTTGTAAGCCTGTTCAGGTGCTGTTAAAGATGGCACTATTCAAATGAAAAGAGCGTTTCTCCTGGTGCCCACGTCAATAATCCCCCAAATAATATCCATGTCTGGTTGTGGGCCATTGCTGTGCGCAATTGCACAATCCTTGCATTTTACAGTATATTCTGTGAAGCGCTTTGGGATGTCCTCATGATATGAAAGGTGCTATATCAAATGCAAAGATTATTATTATAAACCATAATGTTTGTTCTCTATCATACATGAGAATTAACCAGAGATAATCCCCACCTAGCTATATTAAAGTGATACCGTGTTAGCACTGCTCTTTTTGTATACGGCTGAGATGAATCATTTGAGTTATGCTGGAGGCTGGAAACCTTTGAAAATAAAATATAAATGTGTAGAAACAAATGCGAGTATTCACATTCAGGTAGTGCTGAATATGGTAGAATCATTGCTTAAGGGGCAATAAGTGGGTGAGAATAATGTGAATGATTTTGCATAGCGAATAATTTTCCTCTTTTCAAGAAAGTTAATTTCCTGGCTAATGTTCTGCTTTCTTTGAATTATGAACCTATCTTACTGAACTAAAACAAATTATTGGGATCCCTAAGCTTGTCTGTTATTGCTCGACAATATTACAGTTATATTGAAATCAATAGAAAATTTGACCAACCACTCCCCACCACCCCACCGCTACTCATGAACTATATGTTTATAATTAGAATGAAAATTCATGCTCTGTTTAGATTGCAATGTTATTTCATTTAGCCTGCAGTGTTACAGGCTCTTTGTAAACTGTGCAAACATTTTGTGAGATAATAAAAATATTATCTCAAAAAGTCACGTTGTTGTGACATCTCAAAGTACTTCACAGAATATACTGTAAAGTGAATTGACTGGTTATTTTGTGGGCGAAACCAATTGCTTACAGCAGTGTCCTACAAACATATTATTATTTATTTTTGAAGGGATTATTATAAACTATATGTCCTCCCGATGTGAAATGCTCTATTTAAATGTAAATTGTTGTTATGTTACAGTTCTTGGTCACTCTCTAAACAATATCAGATAACATCTTAGAGGACTTTACAAAGATGAGGTTGGACCCCGAACAAGATGGAGAGGAAGGGAGAAGTTATCATGAGTCCGGTTCAAGAGATGGGTTTTAAGTGCTGAGAAAGTGTTAATTTGATTCATTTTAATTGTGTTTTATGGGTCAGCTCTGATTTAATCCAGCTGCTATGGGATGAACCACTGTACCCTCAATCAGTTCAATAGGCACTGAGAGTCCATTGTAAGGTGAAACATATCAGTTATAGTCTTACAATCTAGGCACACGATCCATACTTGTGCTGAGGACACATCAAAACATTGTGACAGTCAATTCTTCTATGTCTCACTGTGCTGAGCCAAGATTACAGCAACCACAACAACTTCCATTTATATAGCTCCTCCACATTGGGAGGATGTCCCAAAGCGCTTCACTCAATTGACGGGGATTTCGAGCCGGAGTGGGAGGGGAGGCGGCTAAAAGTGCAGTCAAAAAGGTAGGTCTTCAGATGTGTTTTGAAGTTGGAGAGGAAAGGAACAAGGCAGAGAAACTCTGGGATGGCATTCCAGAGAACAGGGACAGAATACTGAAAGCTCATCCAACACTGGTGAGGCAAAATCAACAGAGGACTCCCACAAAATATACAATATATTCTGTGAAGCGCTTTGAGATGTCTCGGAAGACGTAATAAGGTGTTATATCAAATGCAAGGTTTATTATTATTTATATTATAAGTGGGCCAGTGTTTTTCTGAGTGGAAGGAGTGGCTGGGGCAGTAGGTTTGTAGGAGGTTGTAGGAGGTTGCAAAGGTAAGGTGGAATGAGAGATATTTGAAAGTGAATAAATCAATTTTTTGCTTTGTTTTTCTCCTTCCAATTTTCTCCACTCCTAATAGCTTAAGCCCTGATGGTATTGATCCATGCTGGGGTAATTGCATCATTGGTGCCGGCTGCTCTCCGCCACCTCATCCAAATTGTCATTCGTACCTGGGTCTAAACCTTTTTACTACTGTAGACTACCATGGTTTGAGCAGTTGTCTGTAGTTGCTTCTAAAATACTTGCTTCAGCAATATTATCGGCCGTGGTTTTGCCTTAGCTTCAGGCTCAGTGATAGCTGGGACAGTGATAGTGTCTCCACATCAAGAATCCCTGATTTATAATTAAATGCCTTGTAGAACTCACATTGTCAAGTACTTGATTCCCTTCATGTAGAAGCAAATAAAATTCAAGAACAAGAAATATCAGCAGCGTTTCTTCAATGTTGGCAAAGTTGGCCTTTAAGCTGAGAATAGTCACTTTGAGTTGTTTTATTCTACATGAAAAATGCTGTATAAGTGCAACTTGTAATCATGCTGCAAACAGATAACCTCTGACACTGTAAAATGCTGGAGGTTCAATCTTGACTGCCTATGTGCAGTTAGTATTGTTTTTTGTCTTTGTAAACATACTAATTTATATATGTGTGTATGCGTGTGTATATATAATGGAATTGCTGTGAAAGTGAAGAGTATTTATGGCAAACAGACATGTCAAAAGCTACAAACTAATATTTTGTTTTCAGTTACAGAGAACTGGAAAGAGATCTACAGCTATCCAATAGATGTTCCTATGTGGATCACTTTGTCATTGAGGAGCTTGAAGACATCTCAGCAGCTTTGCAGTGCTCAGCAAATGTGCTCGGTAAAGCTGATTTGTTATTTCAGGTTATTTATTTCAGTTAGCTCCATAATGCAGCAACTATATTTATAGCTTAGCACATTTATGCTGTTGAAGTTACTGTGTGAATCAATGGAGCTATTGAACACTGCAACATCAGAATCTTGTAAGTGACTATCCTTTATTTAGTGATACTGTATTTTGAAACATTACTGTCTCCCTTGTTAAAACAGCACAGCTATGGGCTAGTACTACAGTTATTGTGGAAAATACTTCCGAGAGAAGAAAAGGCTGAATTACGTAGAAACACATAGGGTGATGTGGCCCGGAAGCTGGCCATTCTAAGTAGAATTGTATTAAAACAAGAGTGTGAAATACAGATCAGTGACAGTGTAAGAGGTGATTAGTCATCCCCCAGAGGATTGATTTCAAGATCCTCATCCTCACCTATAAGGCCATCCACGGCCTTGCTCCCTCCTACCTCTCCGACCTACTATCCCCCTACCTACCTGCCCGTACCCTCCGTTCCTCCGGCTCCGGTCTGCTCCACGTCCCCCGCCCCAATCGCCCTACCATCGGTGGTCGGGCCTTCAGCCTCTCAGCCCCCAGGCTCTGGAACTCCATCCCCCAGTGCCTTCGCCTTGCTTCCTCCCTCCTCCTTCAAGGCCTGTAGCTCAGTGGTTAGAGCACTCGCTTTGCAAGCGAGGGACCTGAGTTCAATTCCAGGCAGGGCGAAACCTTGGGCAAGTTTCCTTACTCCACACGCCTAATAATAATCCCTCCAAGAACAAAAACAATAATACAATTGGTCATTTTCAATCTACGACTGTTTGTGGGACATTGCTGTGCGCAATTGGCTGCCACGTTCACCCACAAATATACGGTCAATTCACTTTACAGTGTGTTCTGTGAAGCGCTTTGGGACGTCCTCCCGACGTGAAAAGCGCTATATCAAATGCAAGGATTATTATTATTATTATTAAGGTCGGTCTCAAAACCTTTCTCTTTGACCGAGCCTTCAGCTCCCCTCTCGACTCTCTTCCTCCTCCTCGCTCCCTCCCTTCCCTCCCCTCACCCTGACCATTTCCCCCCTCCTCGCTCCCTCCCTTCCCTCCCCTTACCCTAACCATTTCCCCCTGCTCGGGTCCTGACCCAACTGTGCAGCGCCTTGGGACGTCCTCCTGACGTGAAAGGCGCTTTATAAATGGAATCTTGTTGTTGAATCTTGTTGTTGATTTTTATCCATTAAAATGGATCTGATGTGTTGAATGTTGCACCAGGGGTAGATTACAACTTGGAGCCTTCCTGCAGGTTGGAATCATGTGCTTTCATTACCAGAAGAAGTTATAATAATAATAATTATAATAATAAAAGTAATCCTTGCATATAGGCCTTATCATATCTTCAAGAAGTCTCAAAGCACTTCTTAGAATATACTGCAAAGTGAGTTGACTATATATTTTATGGGCGAAAGTTCCCATTTGCGTGACTTTATTCATTATTAAAAAAAAACCTGAACAAAATCCCACAGATGCTTGAAAGGACTGTGGTGTCTTTCTAAAAAAAAAATTGGAAGCCAAATATTGCTGGCGTGATTTAGGAGCTATCAACGAGGCAGTTATACATTACAGTATAATTTTTGGCAATAACTATTTTATTTGCAGAGGTGCAGTAGATTATGCATTTACAAATGTTCCTCCTAGGTTCCAAGGCTACTGAATATCCTCTTCATTCCCTTCTTACAATTTCTGCCTTGAACTATTTATTCTGAAGGCACACAAGCTCTTTCAGCAATATCCCTGAGTTACAAGCAATTCAGTTCTAGTGAAGCAACAACTTTGTAGATCAGTAAATACTAAAAATTCTTTGTATTATTATATTGCGCTTTTCATGGCTATTTGATAGGCTTGCTTTTAATTAATGTTAAGTTTCGTAAATTCCTCCAGATTTATAATCTTATATATATATAAAACTGCTGAAGAGGAGCCAAAACTAAGTTAAGAGGAAAAACAGGGAAATGTGAAGACTGACATTTAATTAAACCGATAAAGAGAAGACTTCTGAGGAAATTAGAAAAATGATATAATGATTTGTAAAGCTTAAAGGATTCAAGGAATGTATGTGAGAAACACTGTAGTAAAATTTACAGCAGTCCTTAACCAATTCCTTTTGTTGATCAGCTCCAAGACCACCACAGAGGGTTGACCTGATTCTGACAATTTGTTGCAAAGCATGACATCTCGGAGTCAGCTCAGCCCTAAGAGGTCATTGAGTACCTCCCTCATTATCTAGTCATTATTTGGTCAGCTGGAAGGCTAGGACTACAATAACACTCTCGCCTCCGAGTCAGAAGGTTGTTGGTTCAAGCCCATGTCGGGACTTGGAACTTGTACAGTCTAAACTGACTCTCCAGCGCAGTGTATGGTGCATTGTTGGCGGTGCTGTCTTTCAGATGAGACATTAAACCGAGGGTCCTGCCAGCCTGCTTAGGTGGATGTTAAAGATCCCATGGCACTATCTGAAAAGAGAAAGAAGTTTCTCCTGGTGTCCTCATCCAACTCATCCAAACTGTGCCTGGAAAGTTCAAATGACAAATAGAATTGTCGAGGAACAAATGTGCTTATTGCTGTGCTCCAAGATCATATACAATATTTTGTTTTTATGGATATAAGATCCTTCAAATTATCCCCAAAACCTTGAATCAGCTTATGACGTGGCTTGAGATGCCACACAGAGCTGACAATTGGCCTCAGCTGCTGCCTCAGCAGAACAATGGAACCACATGGCATTTCTATTTTTGTACTATCTATTCTGGCTGTGCTTCTGAGCGAAAATGGCAAAGAGGACTGCAGAATTTACAGAACATTTTTTGTGCCATTTATAAATTGGGATCCAGCGTGAGACTCATTTGCTATTCTGCACACGTACCAGAAAGAAGAGGTGCACAAAATACTAAAGCAAACCCGAATAATACTTGCTGGCTGATGTGATACACCTGACTTCCGGTACTGACTAGTCAGCTTCTTGGACTAAAAAATGGCGCCTTCCAGGTCATCACCTTCACCAGTGCCATCACTTCCAGCAAAAATGCACATGCGTTTCTTGAGAAAAGTGTACACTTCAGTCTGCAGGAAGTGACATCAGCAGTGACTTCCCGACATGTAACTCAGACGACAACACCACCAACAATGACAACAACTTGCATTTATATAGCGCCCCCCCCATGCAAGGTAGCGTCCCAGATATTCTTTCATACTTTGATTTAATGCAGGACTCTGAGCTTCTAAACCCAGATCACTGCGTTATAATGGGGTTACCCTATATTTAGCAATGTGAGATATCACAACCACTCCTATTACTGTCGCCTGACTTCTGTTTGAGTTTGAGCTCGGCTCAAACCATAAAAAGTAAGTCTGTGGCCCGGTGAGAGTGCAGATTTCATTTGTCTTAACTGAAAAGCAAATAATAAAAGACGTAGATAAGTTTAACGTTGCCACATGCAATGTGGTGGCCATTCAATGTCCGAAAGCTTCAGTCTGTGGGAGGGACGCTGCTACCTTGTGGCTGCTTAATGTTTAACACAAAAAAGGGCAAGAATTTTTGAATAGTTTTGAAATGCTGCAAACTTCACCCCAAAGAAAGTGGTTAAATTAGAGAAACATTGGGGTTGTTTTACTGTCAGGCAGATGCATAACTCGCACAGGCCATTAAATCTTTTGTAGATCAGTTGAGAAAATAATCCTCACCAATTGTGCTTATTACAACAACAATAAAATTACATTTGTATAGCGCCTTTCACATTGGGAGGACTTGTTTCAGACCCAAGTTGGGGGTCAGGAATGGGGAGCATGGAGGGCAAGGGGGGAAGCAGGGTGATCGAAAGCACAGTCGAAGCGCAGGGTCTTGAGATGGGTCTTGAAGGAGGCAAGGGAGGGGGCGAGGTGGAGGGACTGCGGGATGGAGTTCCAGAGGGGGGGACAGAGTGGCAGAAGGCCCGCTCGCCAATGGTGGGGTTGGGAAGGTGGGGGATGCCCAGAGCCCGCTGAGCGGAGGGAGTGGGTAGGATGGTAGGGGCTTAGGGGGTCGCAGGGATAGGGTCTTGGAGGGCTTTGAAGGTGGGGACCAGGATGTTGAACTGTATCCCTTGTGTAATGGGGAGCCAGTGGAGTTGGGGAGGCTGACAAGCAAGAAGTTTGCATAGTCAAGCCTAGATGTTAGGAATGCTTGTATGAGGATCTCGGCGGCCTGCGGTGTGAAACAGTGGTGGAGCCAGGCAACGTTGAGAGGTGGTGGAAGGCAGAGCTGGTCATGGCACAGATGTGGGATAGAAAGGATAGTTGAGGGTCAAACAAGACACCAAGGTTCTGGACTGGCTTGGTAAGTGGTACGTGCATACACGGATGGTGATGCTGTCAGTGCCTGAGGTGTGGAGGTGCTGACTTGAGCCAATGAGGAGAGCCTCGGTCTTGTTGACGTTCAACTGAAGAAAGTTAGTTCTCATCCAGGACTTGATGTCTGACAGACATTCTGTCAGGACAGCAGTGGTCCTGGAGTCAAATGGGGAGGCAGAGAGGTAAGGTGGGTGTCATCCACATACATGTGGAAGTTGACCCCAAGTCCGTGGATGATGTCACCAAGAGGGAGCATATAGATGTTGAAGTGGAGGGGACCAAGTATAGTGCCCTGAGGAACGCCGCATGGGACAGTGTGGACATGAAATGGAGAGGGTGTGAAGGACAGAATGCATTCCCTGTAATGTGGTGGAAGCCGATTCAACAACTTTTAAGAGAGAATTAGATAATTATTTGGGGAGGACAAGTTTGCAGGGCTATAGGCAGAGAGTGGGGGAGTGGGATTTATTTGGATAGCTCTTTTCAAAGAGCCGGCACAGACACGATGGGCCGAATGGCCTTCATCTGTGCTGTATGATTCTATGAGAACCGTGAAGCTTGAGGTGAGAGGAGAGGCGGTGAATGAGGATAGAGTGGTCAGCGGTGTCAAAGGCAGCAGAGAGGTCAAGGAGGATGAGGATGGCAGAGGGAGCCCTGGTCACAGATGGCGACCAGGGCTCCCTCTGCCTCCTTGTCCTCATTAGCAGGATCATAAACAAAACTGCAGGAGGGAGAGCCCTCCAGCCCATTAATTTTAACACTGTACATCTTTTTATACAAAGGTTGTTGCTTTTGCACTGTGAAATGTGTTGACTGAAAGCATTTGTAAACTGAAAGCTTTGCAATTCTGTTTCTTGTGACAAAGTGCTTGAACTTTCTTTCCCAAAAAGAACATTTACAGTGTTTTCCTTGAAGCCAATTTCAACACAAATGGCATGAAGACACTTCATCCATATTGTGGATCTTTCACTATTTCCTAGTCCAGAGCTGGAGGTTTCCTAACCCAAATCCCTTGATGTATCCATTTTCTTCCTGGATGCTTAGACTTGTGGTTGCGAGATGCTTTTGCAATCTGTTTACATAGATTGTACAGCATGGAAACGGGCCATTTGGCACAACTAGTCAGTGAATCTGGTTTGCTTTATTTCAACAACTTTTTAGTTCATAGTTAGGCATTCTCTTCTCTGCAATGTGCTTTCTAGGATAGAGCCACTCCATTGATAGGATACAGAGCTTGCATCACAAGAGTTCAATGCTTTACTTTCCATTATCAAGAGAGAATGCAGATATTGAATGATAGAATCATAGAATATTACAGCACAGAAGGAGGCCATTTGGCGCACCATGCCTGTGCCAGCCAGCTAAATGGAAGAGCTACCTAATCAATTCCACTCCCCCGCTCTTTCCCCATGACCTTGCAAATATTCATGAAAACAAGCAGGCAGGGAAATACCTAACTATAAAAATAATACACGTTTAAAAGAAAGGCATATTCTTTTATGTAATTTTCACTGAATCTAGGCTAAAACTCCAGTACAAAGGGGAGTGCTGCATTGTTAGATGTGTCGTCCAGTGGACAAGATGTTGAACCATCTGCCTATTCAAGTGAATGCTAAAGATCCCTTGACACTATTTGAAAAGAGAAGACAGTCTCTCCCAGTGTACTACCCCATAGTCCACGAGATAGCATTGGTCATTCACCTCATGGCTGTTTGTTGGATGTTGCTGCTTGCAAATTAGCTACCATGTTTGTCATTTTGTAATAAATCCTGTGAAGGGTTTTTGGCGTTTCAATGATGTGCTAAGATACAATATCAAATGCAAGTATTATTATTATGAAATAAGACTGAAACAATTGGGTTTTGTAAACCCCAAATAATAGGCAGTGTTGCCAGAGGTCAAATATGTGACATTTCCGAACCGATTCAATGGGATAATCATCACGTCAAATCTGTTACAACACAATGCATTTTTCACCCCATTATTATAAAATATAAATACAGTATAATCCTAAACTTTCCCTCATCTCATTAACTAAGTGTTGTTTTCTTAATGTAGGTTTGAAGTTTGAAGAATTGCAAGAAAAATTTGGTGAGGAGCTGTTCTGTATCTGCTTCGAGGAGAACGAAAGGGTCTTGCGGGCAGTAGGCAGTACGCTGCAGGACTTTTTCAGTGGCTTTGATGCCCTGTTGGAACACGCAAGAACGACAGGCGATAAACAAGATGGGTTTGAATCACCTTCTTTCCTATGCAATAACCTCTCCGATGGCACTATGATGCTCCATTATTTTTATCCGCGGAAAATTGTTGGATTTGCAATGCCCGGATTGATCAAAGCTGCAGCGAGAAAGATCTATCAGCTGGAAGTTGGGGTGGAACAGGTGGTCAATACTACTGAGAAGTTGGGCTCAGATGGCATAACCCAGAGCAACTGCAATCGCCTCACATTTATTATCAAAGTGCATGAAAATGCAAATACTTTGAAAGCACTTCCATTGGAATTGTCCCAATCTCCATCTGACCTAAGGATAAGCATCACCTGCTTTTGCAGAGCATTCCCGTTCCACTTTATGGTCGATCCGAGTATGTTGATCGTGCAGCTTGGAGAAGGGCTCAGGAAGCAACTGAAGACTGAAGCTTACAAGGGTCTGAAATTTCACGACTGCTTTGAGATAATCTCTCCAAAGATTAGTTGTACTTTTCGAAAGATTCTCTCAAAGCTGTCAACCCCGTTTGTCATCCGAGCCAAGCCAGAGGCATCTGGACTAGAAAGTCATGACAAAGTAAGTGAAGATCTGGATATCTACTAGGGCTACCAAGGGAGGGATGAATCAGGGAGTGTGGGTAGGGTGATGTTGGAGAGCGAAAACTGTTCCCTATTTCATGGAACCCCATGGATCCAAACTCTTGGCAACCTTAATTTCTAAAATCACAATCGCACGTAATTGACTGTCCAAGTCTCTTGTGCTCGGGGAAGAGCTAGTAGACAAACACCAGCTTTTATTCTCTGCTGAGTAGACTTTGCTTTAGCTGTTGACAATCCCCCCTCCCCCCACAGTCAGCCATAAATAAATGTCAGCAACCATGCAGGCATGACTCTCGACTCTGATGTCACTTGGTTATCACAGGCTCCGCTTGCCTCCCTGCTAGACAAGGCTGAGATTGGGAACAGAGATGAGTGGGACTTGAGCTGTGTCACTCTTTGTATCCCTTGATACCCTGACCTAACAAGTATCTATCCACCTCATTCCTGAAAATGTGAATGGATCCAACTTGTTGGGGGAGAGAGTTCCAGATCTCCACTGTCCTTTGGGTGAAAAAATGCTTCTTAATTTCATTCCTAAATGGCCTAGCGGTAACTTTAAGATTATGCCCCCTTGTTCTGGATTCCCCCAAAAGAGGCAATAGTTTATCTCTACTGTTTTTTAATTTTAAAAACCTCAATCAGATCCCTGCTCAACCTTCTAAACTCAAGTTTCCTTACTCCACACACATTTGTTCACCTAACAATACGTAGGAATCCAGTTATTGGTTACTTTCCTAGGAGTAATAATCTCGCCAAAAAAAAATCATAATAGTTTAGTCACTTCAATCCATGACTGTTTGTGGAACACTGCTGTGCGCTGCCTTTCACCCACAAAATGTACAGTCAATTCACTTTACAGTAAATTCTTTGAAGCTCTTTGAGACGTCTCAAAGACGTGATAAGGTGCTGTATTAAGTGCAAGGATTATTATTGTTATTATAAGGGAATGGAGACCAAGTTGATGAAACCTGTCCTCATAATTTAACCCTTTGAGTCCTGGTATCATTCTGGTAAATCTGCGCTGCATCCCCTCCAGAGTCAATATATCCTTCCTGAGGTGTGGTGCCCGAAACTGAATGCAGTACTCCAATTGGGGTCTGACCTAGGCTCTATACAGTTGATGCATCATTTCCTCTCCTTTGTATTCCAGCCCCTTTGAGATAAAGGCCAACAACCCATTAGCCTTTTTGGTAACTTTTTGTATCTGTGAGCTTGCTTTTAGTGATTTGTGTACGCGGACACCCAATTCCCTTTGCTCTTCCACAGATCTTAGTTTCTCACCATCTAGAAAATATTCTGTTTTGCTATTTTTGGATCCACAGTGGATGACCTCACACTTCCCCACATTAAATCCATCTGTCACAACTTTGCCCACTCATTTAATCTGTCTAAGACCCTTTGTAACTTTGTGCTCCCATCTACACAATTTACTGTGCCTCCTAACTGTGTGTCATCTGCAAATTTGTATATAAAACTCTCTATTCCTTCATCCAAGTCATTTATATATATGGTGAAAAGCTGAGGCCCCAGTACAGACCCTGGGGAACAACATTTGTCACATCCCGACAATCAGAGAATGTTAATTTTTATCCCTATTCTCTGTTTCCTGCCTCCCAACCAATTACCAAGCCACATTGCAAGGTTATCTCTGATTCCATGCTCTTTTATTTTTGCTAATAACTTCTTGTGTGGAACCTTGTCAAATGCCTTCTGGAAGTCCACGTAGGCGACATCCATAGAAACTCTCTTATCCACCATGTCAGTATCTCAAAAAATTAAATTAGATTAGTCAGACATGACCTACCCTTCTCAAATCCACACTGATTCTCTTTGATTACCTCATACTTGTCCAAGTGCTGAGTCCCTGATGAGAGGTATAGTATTAGCAGGAAGCAAAACCTGTTAAAATAATTATTGAATTCACCCTCCATTTGTTTATAGTAAATCTGGTCCTCACAGCAATTATTTAACAAAATGTTAATTAAAATCTGACAATTGCTTTTGTTTAAGGTACATACATGTCCTTATTCAAACAACAGAAGATGATCCTAGTTGAAGCAGTTTAACAGAAGTATTTTCAAATATGTGTGCTGAAGTCCTCTGAAAATTGTTTCAATCTTTGCTTACAACTCTCAATTTGAGCTAAATCCTATTACAGGATCAGCCATCACTGTTGATAACATTGTCATTGTTTGCAAAAATAAAACAGTCTTCAAAATATTGTGAAAAAGTAATCAGCATGTTCTAACACTTAGGGAAGTGAAATATTTACTTTTTTGTTTCATTTGAACATTTAAAACTTTGGGGAATATCAAATGCACATATTATTATTGTTTTCAGTTGGTACTTTTTGATGGAATCTATGCTCAGCAAGGCAAGGGAGCTAATTACTAGGAAGTGGAATACATTGCTAATTTAGACACTTAGTCAGCTTTAAAGTCTAACATAGGCTGGAGCATTCTGCTCTGCCCCAACAATATACGTTTAACCACAATTTATCCACTTTACCTTGGAGTCCTGTAGATTAGTGGTTAGCGCGCTCGCCTAGCAAGCGAGAGGATCTTGGTTCCTGGCCGCTTCCTTATTCCACTCACCTCTGTTTACCTAACAGTAAGTAGGAATCTGGACATCACTCAATCCACGACTGTTTGTGAGACACTGCTGTATGCAATTGACTGAGCATTTCGGCCACAAAAATACACAGTCAATCCAGTTTACAGTATATTCTGTTAAGTGCTTGTAGACGTTCCAATGACTTGATAAGGTGCTATATCGAATGAAAGGTTTATAATTATTATTAGAACTTGTGTCAGCCTGGCTCAGTTGGTAGTACTGTATATCCTCGTCTCCTTGTCAGGACTTTGAACTCACAGACTAGGCTCCGATGCAGTGCTGAAGGGTGAGTCATTGATGCAGGTGCTGTCTTTGGATGAGATGGAGTCCTGTAGCTCAGTGGTTAGAGCACTCGCTTTGCAAGCGAGAGACCTGAGTTCAATTCCAGGCAGGGCGAAACCTTGGGCAAGTTTCCTTACTCCACACAGAGCCTAATAATAATCCCTCCAAAAAAACAAAAAACAATAATAAATTGGTCATTTTCAATCTACGACTGTTTGTGGGACATTGCTGTGCGCAATTGGCTGCCGCGTTCGCCCACAAATATACAGTCAATTCACTTTACAGTGTGTTCTGTGAAGCGCTTTGGGACGTCCTCCCGACGTGAAAAGCGCTATATCAAATGCAAGGATTATTATTATTATAGATGGTAAACCAAGACCCCATTCTGCCTGTTTAGGTGGACCTTAAATACCCAAGGCGCTAATCGAAAGGATAAAGGCATTTCTCCTGATGTCCAGATAAACAATCGCGAAATAAAATTGGTCAATCACTTCATGGCTATTTGTGGGACATTGTCATGAGCAAATTAGCTGCCACGTGTCCCTACAAAAACACTGTGAAGTGCTTTAGGATGTCTTGACAATGTGAAAAGGCACTGTGCCAAGTTGCAAAGATTATTATTATCATTATAACCTCAGAAGAACACCAGCATGAACTTTTTCAGTTCTCACCCAAGACATCTCATGTTAGTGCTAAATTCTGGCTAATTTTGTTCTGTGGATTCACATCAATAAAGAATTGGGATAAAATTGCTTAAAATAATTTAATTCAGGTACCACTTAGTTGTCATACTGAGGAGGCATTCATGCTGTTAGACTGTGCTGGAATTGGACTGCTGTGCTGAGACAGAGACTGCTCAGAGGAGACCAAATAGAAATGTTCAAAAGTATAAAAGGTTAGCATAAATAGGCTGTTCCCACTTGTGAGCGTGTCCATAACCAAAGACATAAGTATAAGTTAGCAGCTATGGGTCTTAAAAAGAATTTGGGAGGAACTAATTCACATGGAGGTTAACTTGCTGTCCAAAAAGGTGGTTGAATCAGATGCTATAGATACATTTTAGAGGAAGCTAGATGTACACATGAGGGAGAAGGGAATGTAAGGGTATTGGAGGGAATAACGAGTGAGTGGAGACTCATGTGGAGTATGAATGCCGGCACGGACTAGATGGGGTGAATCGTCTGTTTCAGTGCTATAAATTCATATCAAAGCTATGTAAATCTCAATATGCATTGTGACAATTCAACGCTTACCTGTTCCTTTCCTCGAAGTTTTAATGCTCATAGAAAACATTCTCCACTATCTTATACTAATAATCCTTGCATTTGATACAGCTCCTTATCATGTCATTGAGATATCTCAAAACGTCTCTTAATGGAGAATCAGGAAGATTATACAGTAGGAACCCACAAATGTGACCAGTATCTTTTCTGTTTTCTCAGTCAGATACACATCAACTGATGGACTCCACAATTCGAATCCCAGTGGTTTAGGAAAACCTTCCTTTTTTCAGCATTGTTTTTAGCAAAGTGGAAAACTGGTGTTTTTAAAGTAAAAAAATATATTCACTGGACAATATATAAAGATCTTGATATCTTGATAAAGACCAAATGGTATGAACATCAACCAGCAAAACTGACATTAAAAATAACATCACAATAATCTGGAACTCACATAGATACATTAATAATCTCTGAGAGATCAAATATTAATATAAAGAACCAAATAGATTGTACATGTAGTATTATGGATGTAGCTATCCCAAGTGATTACAACATAAGAAAGAAAGGACTAGAGAAGATCAGGAAATGTATTGATCTACAAATTAAATGTGGACATATGTGGCAGTATAAAACAAACATAGTTCCTATAATCAGCCGTGCATCTGGAACTGTTAATAACACTATTCAAAAATGGCTTGACAAAATACCTGGTGAACAAAATATGAACCTCCTGCAAAAAGTAGCTATTTTAGGAAGTTCAAACGTACTAAGAAAAGCAACATTCATTTATATCTAAAGTGGTAATGTTATTGGTCTGGTTGACCGATCACTGAAATTCATTTAGAAACTGCCGCTACAG